GCTGAAATACATTGTGGTAAATCTTAGAAGACAAACATTCTTTCTGGAGATATTCTGGAAAGGCATTTCACCTGGAACAAGAAAATAAGGTGAGGAAGATTAAAAAAAAAATTTTTTCTGGATGTTGTAAAACTTTTTTGTAAAATAAATATATTGTAGTATTAGATTGATGAAGGCCTTGTTTTTATAAGGTTCATAGTAAAGTTATGTGTTAACTTGGGATTTCCAGACTTTCAAACCCCAATATCTTACATATTTGTATTTCTCTAGGTTTCCAGATAAAACAGATAAATGACTGTGCTTGTTTTCTGGGATAACATGTCTTTTAGGAACCCTATATTCCTTGTCAAAAGAGGCCCTGCATGGTAATTTTTTCCTCTTCACCCAAGCTCTCTTCACATGTAAGCCTTCCAACTCTGAGCTGTTCTGTTTGTGTTCAGAGAGAAAAGGGTGAATCACCATCTTAATTAAGGTCAGTGTGTGATATATTTGCTATTCTTCCAGCTATTCTCAGCTGGTGAATAAAGAGTTAAAAATAGGACAGAAACTCTCCTGTAGACTTTGGTGATAGCCTACAGGAAGGTCCTATAAATATTCTCATGATGGTGTGTTTTCATTAATATTCACATTTCCATCCAGGTTTTTCTTTAAAAGGCTAAGTTAAATGCAGACCACAAAATCAGTTGAATTGTTGTGTTTGTCCAGCACATCGTTAGGAACAGAAGGGAAGTTAGGCCATTGGAATTTTTTTCAGCCTAACTCTGAATTGGTAGATCTTCATATTTTTAGTGCCCCTTGTTCGGTTTGTTTGAGTCTAAAACACATGGATAGAAATATCTCAAATCAGTTTCTCAGACTCTAGCTGGAGCAGTGGTTGAAAGTCAGGGTCAGGAATATCAAAGAAAAAAAAAGCACATGGGGACACAGGGAAGAGGGAAGTGGGTTCTACATCCTGCAGCATTTTCTCCCAATAGCTTGTAAGAGTTTCATTGCAGGCCCCAAGGCAAAGAATTTTCTACCCAGGCTGCAGGAGGGAGTGTTGAAGTGTTGGGAGAGGCAGGATGAGAAAGCAGCTACATTGCTTAGGCGGTTGTTCTTAGAAAAGTATCGTTGGCAAAGTAGCACAATAATTTTGCAAAAAAAAAAAAAAATCTTGCCCAGGAAGGAGAATTTTGCTGACAAGGTGTTAAGAAAAGAAATATCTACTTTTATTTCATTCTGTTCTCTAAAGGGATTTAGCATTTTGCTGTGTAGTTCTTTCATACCAAACTAACTTTCAAAGTAAACCCAGTTCCTCTGCCAACATACTTTTTAAAGGTGCAACACAGCTCTATTTTCAGAACTCCATCTTGTTTGAAATATGTCGAATTTGTTGTTTTCTCTGGCTTAAAGTGAGAGGCTGGGCTTTGGGATCTCTGAAAATAGTGGTAACATGGTTGAATCCTACAGGAGTCAACCGTGGACAGAAGTTACTAACGTTAATTAGGCTGTGTGTGTCTTCCCCCAGGATCAGAAGAGAAATCTCACACAGGTTCCCTAATAATGCTTGGAGGCTGATCTCTGTGCTCATCCCTCCCTGCCAAGAGGCACAATCAGTGGGCAGCGCTGGGGACCGTGTACTCTCCCTGCTAGTGCTCCAACTAGACCATTGGCATCAGGTTTTTGAGGCATATTATGGCAGTGCTAAAAAATAGTTTCACAGGATTATCAGAGTGCTTGGATTCAGCTCATTGCTGTGGCCTTTCAGTAGGTGTGGAACAGGAATAAAAAAGAATAAAATAGTTTTGTCCCATCTTTCTCGTGAATTGTCTGTCACTGTTCAGAGACTGTCCTGCAGATGTGAGCATCTCTCTCACGGTGGGGGGAAGGGTGAAGGAGAAAGGTGGTTTTTGTATTCAGCTTGCCTCGACATTGGAGCACTTGTAGTTATTCCTCCATCAAGGCACACTAAGTAGGGACGCCTCATAAGACGATATAAGTGCTGTATTTTATGACCTGAATGCAAAACCTGTATTAGTTTCAACCTGCTTTTAGTAACATGTGTCTAATGCTAAATTATCTCTTTTATGTGGTTTGTGTATTACACGCTAACCTCAGATTGCTTTCATGTGTTCAACTTGCAGGAGTTCAAGAGTTTTGCAGGAAGAGCAGCAAAATGTGTTTTTGTCAATCTTTTTAGTTTTTGGGCCAAGCTGGGTTTCTAATGGGCAATTTGAAAAGCAATGACTGCCTGGAAGAGCAGGCATAAGCAGCTTGCGTGGTGCAGACATGTGTGAGTGCATGTGCATGGGAGGCAACTACCAGGGGAACCCATTTGGGAAGAACTGTAATGGCATAGGTCAAAGGCTAGAACCACCCAGTGACAAGCCAGCCAGGAAGGATTGGGGAGTAACATTACAGAGCCCCCATTTTCTTAAGCATCCATGCTTCTAGAGATAGAGATGTGAGCATAGAAATGGTAGATCTGGCAATGGTTCATGTTGAGCAGTGCTGTGCCACAACAGGGCACGAGACTGACAGCTCTAGGGCTGCTGGGCTCACTTCTTGCTGAGCTGCCTGAGCCTAAGTCAAATTTTTAGAATAAAATCAGTCTTTTCTAAACTAGTTTTAGATACCTTGGAAAATGTTTTGGATGAGTGGCCCCACAACTCGTTACTGAAATAGGATTAGTACCAGCGTGGCAATAGTCATGGAGATTTTGTGCCTGTCATGATGCCATGTGGATTTCCTAATCACCTGCCTTTAAAGCCAAGTATCCACAGTCCCTTATTCTACCTGGGCCCATAGTGGTCTTCCAGAGACTACCCGCGTGAAGAATGAAATGAGCTGTTACAGGGGGTTGTATTAATGCACATGGTGAGGCGTGGAGCAAGGAGACTGCGTTATGGTGGTTACAGCAAGGCCCAGGAAGAGGAGCGAAGGCACACCAGCATGCCGGGGCTGTGTGCTGGGATGCTCCTCCCAGGCTGCCTGTGGCCAAGGGCTGTCACTGTGATGGATGCCATAGCGTGGGCTGGCAGACAACATGTTCCTGTCTCCCTCTCCTCTGCACAAAACAAGGATCTAAGGAGCAAGGCAGTGGGAAGCCCTGAATCTCCCCACTTGCAGCACCTGCTTTGCTCCTCCATGCCATGAACCCATGGGCCCTCCCCGGAGGAAGAGGTGGGATTGCTGCTTCTGTCTCTTCCTGAGTGAGATGATCTCATCGTGAGTCACTTGTGGCACGATATGGACCCTGTTTCTTTGGAAATGGTGCCCAACTAGCAGCTGCATGGCTCAGCACATCTCTGACACAGCTTCTGGAATAGGGCAGGGCACCTTCCTAACCCAAGCATTCAAGGGCAAGGCTTGAGTGTGTTGTAATTTTGGGAATGGCTCTTGCCTGAGAACAGGATACAGTGAGCACAAGAGGGTGGGGATGCTGCAGATCTGTTTCTCTCATTCTTAGTGTTCACTTAGTGCCCGCAAAGTGTTTGCTTCTGAGCCTACAGGGAAAACTGCAGGAATGGGGAGGTCTCTACTAGAGATAGTAGCTGTAACACAAAGGGAGATTTTGGTTTGTTGGTCACTGGTGTCTCAGTACAGTCTCAACAGCTGAGGATCATTCCTGAAATCTCCACTTGAGTCCCAGCCTTTTTGCTGTGGGAAGCTGCTCTGTTGCTGCTTGAGTCTTCTCCTCTGGTCTTCATTTTTAATGTATCTCATGAGATTCTCAAATCTACTAGACCAACACCTTCTTTTCCTCACAGAGGTCTACCCTTCCCTCTAGTCATTGGAAAACACTACCCCAAAGCCATTTGTTTGGGCTGAGTGACATGCTGGTCAGTTAATGAAGCAGCACAGCTGTGTTGAAGCATCTCTGCAATGAATACAGGCTAAAATAGAAGCCCCAAGCGGGAAACATGCAAATCCTTCCTGTGCCAGAGATGAGATCCAGGGAATGCTGGGCCAGATTGCTGGCTTTTCACGCCTCTCACTAATTAAATCCTACTCTGTAGTCCACTTGTCCAATTCATCCAAGTTGGTGGCTTCTTAAAAGCTTTATGGAGGCATTTCCATTGGGGCATCTTCCAGCAACAACAGAAACCCTCATGCATCACCTTCCAGGCAGACACATGTAATTAAGTTGTTTTTTGGAAGGTTGGTTTGCTACAGGCAAATGGCCCATCACAGAGTTTAAATGGCCAGCTTGTCCAGTTTTTAACCTCACAAAGATTTTGTTACAGTTAATCCTTTCCTGATGGTCCCTGCATCCTGTTCCAAGTAACTTAAATGATACAGCTTAAGTCTATTTAAAAGGAGGGGTGGAGTACTTGTCCCACTCATTCCAGCAAAGAAACAAACCCAGGCCAGTCAAAAGGTTTCAAGTAAGATTGGATGATACTTGAAATATGAAGATATTTGGTTTATTTAACAATCCAAATGTGGTGAGTGGAAGAAAGTTGTCTAGTTTTTAATCAATTTAAGATTTTTGCAATGCTGCATGCAGAAGTGGGAGTAGTAGTTACTATGTAGCCAGTTCTCATAATTTTATCCTGAATTTTGCAGTGTGATGCTTTTGGAAAAAATAATCTGTTATTATCTAAGAAATTCAGTTCTTGTTAAAAACAAAACCAAAATGTGTTTCTAGCTCTTACACTTATGTAGAATATGACCCAAGTACACCCTGAAGTAAGACAAAACAATAAAACCTCACCAAACCTTATGGTTTCTGAGTCAAGCCCTGTACACTCATGTTCCATTTTGCATTTGACTTTTTCTGTTGTTGGCATTTCTGCAGTTATAACTCAATGGATGCCCTGAAGCAAAGATTTGATCTTTTTTGCCTGAGCTTGCCCTGTGAAAGACTATCAGTAATAAATATTATCCCAAGTGACTGTGGTGTAAGTAATGGCATTCCTTACCCAAAGATCACCCCCAAAAAATCACACTGTTCAGATTGTGAAAGAACTGCTGGAAAGAAAGATACAAATGACTCTTGTCTCTGCTCTTAATGTCAGATACAGCTCACGTGCACCAAGAACCAGATAGACCCAGCAGGATCTGAGAAATCTCTAGTTCCTGATCTCTGTCTACATTTTGCTGGTGAAGGCAACATCTGAGGCTGTGCCCAAACCACCCTCTCCTTCCTCCCCCATAAGGAAGTACAGAAATGGCAGCCCGTTTCCCAAGGGGGAAAACACAGTGCCTTCCCATCATTTGGCCTGGAGGCTCAGACCAGCTGTGCACAGCTGTGCACCATCCCAGCAGCAGAAAGTCCAAGCTTGCTCTTTCTATGTAAGGACTGATGCCTTGGGCCTGAGCCTGTCCAGCAGCCACCAAGATGGAGAGGCGTGAAGAAACCAGACCCTGTATTTAATCCCACCCTGGATCTGTGCTTTCACCAGCACCATCGCTCCAGCATTGAACTGGAGAGGCTTCCACACAGACAAAATTGTAAGGTAAGCCCAGGCACTCACTCCCTCGCTGCCTGTGAAAGGTGAGCGTCACTGGTGATCCTACAAGGAAAGAATGAGTCTCCTTTCTTAGCATTCTTTTTTCTTCTTTTGTTTTCAAATATAGGTGGTAGAGAATGGGAGGATTTGGTTCATCTGTATTTTTAACTAAGTGCTTTGCATTTTAAGCTTCCCCGTAAAATATAATGATAGATTTCTTCAATAATAATTACAGTGTGAATAAAGCTTCATCCAAGTTGCATAAGACCAGCTTTATCCGGGCATGTGGTTTTATAAGACTTTAATTGTCGATTATCTAGGAAAGACCACAAGCTTTTGTTTAGCGATAAGAAGGGTCAAAAAAAATTAAAGGAAACCCAAACCATAAACCCCTCTCTGAAGGCTTTTTTGTTCCACCACAGTACGCTAGTGATTCTCACTGGAATCAGTGTGTGGTTCTCTTATCTTGTGGTGGGAAGATACACAGTCCCTGGAGAAAACAGTAAGCTGCCTGAGTCTTTGAGTCAAGTGATGGAAAACATGGAGTGTGATTTTCAGAATCTCTGTCCTTAATCCATCCTTAAATGTTCCCATAGTTCTGTGCAGTTTGAATTCCTTTATTTGCATGATGGATTTACAGTTTAATATTTCAGATATAATTACCTCTATTATCGAAAACAAAGGAGACACGTGCCAGTCTGAAAGAGTAAAGACATAGCCTCAAGGTAAGGTATTAGTTCATCTTGTCTCTTCCCCTCACACATGCACATGCAGATATTTCTGCATAAATCCCTGTCTACCTACTTATCAGTGCACTCATTGTCCCTTGACTTCCAGGGCTGTCCTTTCTTCATACCTCTGGGAAGGCTCCTAGAGATTGAAAAGTCCTTTGGTTGATTAAGTTCATGGTCATCATCATAGGCCCACTTACCAAATGAGGTGCAGCTATTTGTAGTTTGATATACGTGGCAAGAGTAAAATAAGCTATTTAAGAGTGCTTCCCAAGGTTTGGAGAACTGGAAACCTACAGGCCATCAGAGCAGAGCACCGGGACACTCTGAAATCGCTGTACCCAGTTTATAGATTTCTTCATGTGAATGCCTGTGGTGCAAGGTAGTAAATCTCATTCTTTAAATCCTCTCTTTGGAATCCTTTTTGCACTTAGGACAGGCCACTTGTCTGCAGGATCTGCCAGACCTCACTTGTTCTCTCGCTGGAGATGTCTCCAGAGTTACTGTTGGGACCTGTCTGCTCAAGGAATTGAGTGTAAATGGAAGCAGGACTGGACTGCAAATTTCTGTTTGCATTTACACATTTTTATGAAAACTATTCATTATTCAGTCCCAAGATATTTGAGCCCACTCCCAAAGACAAATGTGATGATTGCTGCCCTTTGCTACAGATTGACATCACTAAGATTAGACCATGAGTAGTGAAAATAAATAAAAAGAGAGATTATGGTGTCTTGGAATGTGTTGGGTACAGATTTTCGGCTTTCTTAACTCCTTTTAAGGTAAGCACTGCTGGTACAACTGAGTGGCAAAGGGCCGTGAAGTGTGTGTGTCTATATGTATGTAGACACACAGTCAGCTTTTGAGAACGACACTGGAGAATTAGACATATTATAGCAGGGTGGTGTCATTTTTTGTACCAGCCTCATTCATCTTTCTGCACCCTGTGCCAGGAATAAAAGGCTGTGATGATGTTCAGTGGCACACAAGCAGCTACCTGATGGTCCTGTTGTGTATGCACCTGGGTATGTTGCCCTGGAGACCTTGCGGCAGCGAGGGTGGCATGCCTATTTGCATCCAGGTGCTGAGAATTCCTTGGAGAAACCCATCTATTAGGCAGGTTAATTGGGAGCTTCATCAATGCCTGCCCACATGGCTACATGGCTCCTTGCTGTCTCTGTAGAGCTTCAAGAGGGGAGCAGCAGAGTTACCAAAACACACCAGGAACAGAGGAGAGCTGGGGTTTGGGCCTTGGTTTTTGCATACAGCCCATTCACGATTGTGCAAGTCAGCCAGGAGTAAGGCCACTAAATCTCTGTGGGAATCTAGACCTCCTTTCCCTATTTGTAGCACTCTTCCCTGCTTACTGAAGTAGCAAGAGGTAGGTCTTGGCACAGCATGTGGTTCTCTAAGGCAGATTCATCCCACCGAATGTCGATATGGCCACACTTACTCCTGAGCTGTCTAGACACCCCTTATAACAAGCAGAGAGATAGAGGTGTCTAGGGACTGAGTCACCTTAACCTGGCAGGCCAAACAAGCCTGGCTAAAATCCCCTAAGAATATGACTATTTTTCTCCAGCAGCTATGACATGAGCCCAGAATACTCAGGTCAGACAGAGATACCTGCACTGTAAGGGAAATAGAATCCTTCTGTTATGTTGACTGGGGCCATATAAGCATTATCAGATGAGAAAGCTGTTTTGTTCTGCCCTTGTCTCTGTCTTCCAGGTCTTCTGCTGTCTCTGGGTCCTTTTCCCAAGCATGAGACCATGCTACAACCTATTGTGCTGGGGGGATGTTGGATCCGATGGTGAAGAAAAACCCACAGCACCAGGCTTCAGTCTGAGAAGGATTTTTAAGTGACTTTTAAGTGTGTGACCAGGGGCCTGCTAGCTGTTCTCCAGCTTTGTGCTTATTCCAGACCCTAGTGACAGACATGAGCATTCGCCAGAGGCTTGACCAGCCAGTCCATCAGAGCACTGGTGCATAGACCATGGGATGGATGCAAGAAATCATCAAGGGTGAAAAGCTGGCATTAGTGAGTGTGATTGCACACATCTGAAACCTGTCCACTGCCTGTGATGTTAAGCCATTTTCTGAGCTTCTCTTCATTGTGTTGTGCTCTTTCTGGCCATCATGTTTTTATAAAGTATAAGCCTTTGGGGCACAACTTTTCTTCCTTTGACACTCCTAACTCATTCTTGCAAGCTTATATTTGTTGTTGTTGCTGCTGTTGTTGTTGAGTAACCAGCAATAAATAATGTTTTGGTCAAGGCTCTTAACATGTGTAGCTGAACCTCAAAGCATCTCTAAGTTGTCTGTACCATGAGTACCATCATTACTTCTGATTTATGATTAGGGCAAGCATGGCACAGACAGGGCATCTTAGACTGAGACAAAAAAATAAAAATTTGTGTTGTATTGTATTTAGGGGGATGACACATTCCCTACCAGAAATCCTGCACACCTGGATGTAGACAAATGAAGAAAGACCTGAACACACTGAAAGAAAATATCTCCTTCACCCTGAAAATGTGTTTATTAAAGGAGATTTTTACCTTGTGTCTTTTGTTTCAGGTTACAGTTGAACAAGCATCTTCCTTCTGGAGACACAGGGTTCCTGTAAGTGGCAGAACAAAATATATTGCAGGGAAAAAAAACTCCAGCCCTTGAATTCCAAAAATACCATATCCTTTTAAAGTAAGATTTATATGCAAGAAGACAATCTCTCTTACAGAGTTTTCCTGTCACTCGGAGTCCACTCACTGGAAACAAGCACACGATTTAAAAAGATATTGGAAGAACAGCTTGGACACAGAGAAAGGAATGACCTGGTCTTAAAAAACAGACAAGCTTTTCAGGAGCTTGGAACAAGAAGCTAAAAGTCATGTAAGGCCAGTAAAGTTTGGGGCATTCTTGTTACCTAAAAAATAACCATTCTTGGCTTCTCTAGTTAGTATCTCTGTTCAGGGATTAAGTTAACTGTTTTGTGGGGAAGCTAGATGCAAATCTGCAGCTGTGGTGGTGAGTTTTCTTGAATGTGTAAAGGGTCAGGATGAGCGAGTGGTTAGGTTATTTGAGGGCTAGTGTTCCTGAGCCTTCTTTGTCTGGGATCCAGACAAGCCTTCCTGTTGAGAAACACTGGCCTACTTCTTCAGTGCAAGACAAACAACATACCAGCTCCTACTCTAGCGGGACAGTGGAAGTAGTGAGCTATTTCCATTTAATGCTACAAGCATGTAGTGGCTTCTAGAGGTATCTAAACAGAAGTAGCACAGCTCTCCCCTCTCTCTCTCCCTCTCATTCCTTAGTTTTATTAAGACAGTTCTGGCTCTTGCAAAATATTAGGAGATGATGTAGGGGCTTCTTGCAAGGAAAAGGTTTGGTTTTGCTCTCAGACTGTGGCTCCTGAGGATTAAGTATGCCCTGGTCAGAGCTGACAGTGCCCATGTGGGAACCTATGCACCTTCAGGGTGGAAACTATGGACACCACCAGCTGTATTCAGGGACACAACTTCATTAGCAGGGTGAGTGGAAAGTATGTGGGAATGCTTAATAGCATTTCCTAAAAAAATAAACAAACAAACAAAAAAGCCCCAACCTGCTTCCTCCCCCGCTACCCCCCAATAATTAAAAAAAAAAAAAAGAAAAACAAAAATACAAAAACCAAACCAAACCAAACAAACAGGCAGAGGCATATCTGCTTCATTTAAAACAAACAAGCCCAGATAAATTAATATCTCTTTGGAACAGAATAGAGCAAGGACTTGTTTGTCATGCAATATGGCATCACAGCAATGCATGGAAATGATTTTGCTGCTTTGGCATGCTGGTAAGGGTCTAAGCTGTGCTCTGAAGAACAATTTCTTTGCTGTGTCCCTTAGGTAGCACTGTATAGGAAATGGGGAAAGGGATACAGAAGATGTTTTGTGGCACCTTTGAAACTGGTAATTTGTTGCTGTAAGTTGGACTGCTTTTTTCAACTTTGTCCAAATTGTCATGGGGCTGCTTAAGAAGCCCCAAAATCCCACAGTGTAGGCTACTACAGTGAATCTCCCTCTGTTCCACCACAGATGCCCTGCACAGGGGCAAAAGCAGATGGAGATACTGCCTTCAGTAGTTTTTGGTTTTATTCTTTCTTTTGGGTTATCTTCTTCATAGCATTTGAATGGGATAGTCCTTTTATATCCTGACCCTTTACACCCTTGCAACAGTTTAAAGGGGTCAACAAACTGCCCATAGAAGAACATGTATGTACATAGAGCCCATATATTCTAATGATATCTATATAAGCTATTACATAATACATTTAGTAATTGTATCACATGTCTAGTTTTCTGTGTGTGAAAAGAATAAAGGTACATATCAACAGATACAAATGCTTACTAAAATCCTATGATGTGGTTGAAGGGCTCTTAGCAGGAGATGTGTGGGAAGTACTCTTTGTTATGGCTGTACCAACCTTGACTAGCCCAACTGTGATGAACCCAAGCTGAAGAAACCTTTGTACCACACAGTATTTTCCAGTTAATTATATATATTTGTACATCTGGGCGTGTGTGTGTGGACAAGTGAGATCATCCATTCCTTTGAGACTTTTTTTTATCCTATCCAGAACATTTTTCCTCTCCCTAGCTCCTTTCCAGGAGCTTAACAACAACAATAGAGCCAAGAGCCTTCTCTCTCATCTGGTGTCTGCAGTCCAGTGACTGCTCCGGGGTGTGGCCTCTGGCCACTCCAGTGGTGTCAACTCCACGGACTGGTCCAGTTTGAGTCTGCTGCATCTCCAAACTCAGATAACATGGGGTGTTTTCAGGCCAGCCTGGCTGCAGGGCCAGGCTCTTGCCAGAACTGAGAAACAGGAACAAGGAAAGCAAATGGTTTTGGTGTTTTGTTTTGTTTTGTTTGTTTGGTTTTTTTTTTCTTTGTATATGCCTTAATATGAGAGAACCATGACTAAGAAAAACTCTAGGTTTTGAGCCATTTGGTA